AAAAATGACAACGACTAGAAAGGAGAGTGACTAATTCAAGAAGCAAAGGTCGTGGTTTGGGAATAAAAGTTGTGGTGATCGCAGAAGGCAGTTTTACTTTTTATAGAAGGAAAAAAAAATGGATTACAGAGGCTGCCAGAAAGCACAGGCAGTGTTGACAGAAAACAGGGAACTGGTCAGTGTGAAGATGCTTTGATAGATTTATACGGATGTGATAAGCTCAAAAACAAGCACAAAAGAATCAATATGCGGGTTGCATCGATAGCAGCAATGAGAGAAAACAATGAAATAATGTCTATTTAAAGTACCAAAGCAATTAAAGGAATTGTGATGCATATGCTGATAGAGGATATTCACCGGCACAACCGGAACTCAAAAAAAGCTAGTACACAAGTTAAAATAGCTTTAAAGCTAGTAAAATGGCTCACTAAAACAGCCCTCATATATAGATAGAAACGTACAATAAACCACATTCAATGTGGTCGGGTTAAAGAAGGCGTACGATCAGGGGCACTGGCAACAGATCCATCCAAAGAGGAATGACTAGAGGGGCTTGGTGAGCGCAGAATTTCATGGATATGATGCAATATCAGATCAATTGCAACCTCGTTATCAACACCACGCGGGATCACAACATCTGCGTACTTCTTGGTCGGTAAACAGAATTCTTCAAAAGCTGGCTTCACAAGATTCAGATATTGATGCAGCACCTGTAAACAGAGCATAATCTTTCCATTATTTGAAAATAAAATTACAAAAAGAGCTTGTCTACATAATTTTCAGAAAGCAGGTATTGATGCCAATTTTTTTGATCACTCTGGCAAAATCGAAATCTAATTTGTAAGTGGAAGATATCAGAATAAGCTGGAGCGTTGTTAAAATGATTCTGCGTGCTGGCAAAAAAAAAAAGCCTTGCGTACCGCAAGAAGAACTCTGGATCGCGCAGTTGAGTACTGAGTCAGTTCGGCAAGTAGCATCGGGTGTGAGCAAGTTTTCCCAAGCTATCCGACTTGTTTCAGCAATCAAAAATAGATGAATTTGGACAACGCCAATACGATAATCGTGAAGCATTTGCTTCAACTAAGTTGGTCCAAATACATGCACATGAAACGGATGGGAAAATTCACGTGTTCGAAAAATCCAAAAAACACAGTACCTGAGAGAGTGATCGACCTCTCTCACGCGTATCTCTTTGGACACGTCGCGCTAAGCGATCGTCCGAATCAGCATCCACAAAAAGCTTCATATCGAAAAGATTTCGCAGCTCCTGATCGTAAAATATGAGAATTCCCTCGACGATTATCACATCCGCCGGTTCGATCACTTCGCAATCTTCCATTCTGCAGAATTTAATATTGCAGAACCTGTGACCAAGCTGCTTATCATCATTGAAAAGGTCAATAAATAGCAACGCGCACCAGACTAGCCGGTGCGATCATG